CAAACAAAACATACCCGCAGTGTGGTGTGTCACGTGTCATTGCCACGAATGGCATTTTTTCGTTGGCATAGCTGCAGCCATATAAGCGTTTCGGTTGAGTGAAAGGAGTTAAGTCAAAGAAGCTGGCGAGAAGAATTTCAAAATGTATTATATTGTACATATGAACAAATTATTTTGTGTCCTCGATTTCATTTATTTCTTCCAATAATTTATAGTTTATTTTATTATTGGCTTAGCTAGACTATTTCCTATTGAAATTCATTACTCCATCAACGCTAGTCCCTTGTCTTTAACATATTTTAATGAGAGAAAAAGAACATTTAATCGAGGTGGTCAAGTTTAGAAGTCATCGACAGCGCAACGTTGATAAAAATGAGGCTTCCAAGTAAGGTTTAAATATCTTAAGTGCCCCTCGCGTTAATGTGACAGCCTAAAGAAGGCGAGTTTTGGAAATTAAAAACAAAACTCAACTATATCAATTGCGTTAAAACTTGAAGGGTATATTTATACATATTATAATTTGTTATTATTATTATATAAATTAAATATTCCTTGCGTTACACGCGATTTCCGACGTCACTATAAAAAGGTCCTCGACAGCTGCTATAATTCTGGCCTTCTTAATGGATGAAACCTAAAAAAATATCCACAAAACTGTTACCCATAATAGTTGGTCGCGTTTGGCCTATCTGATAGGCTATTATAAATAGAACTTGCATACAAAATTTGATAGCGATCGAATCGATCATTTATTTCCGAGTAATCACTGTGACAAATTTTAATCGTGTAGTTTAGAGAAAACGTGTTTAAAGATACTTCCAAAACTTTGAGATATCGATTTAAATTTTAGTATATTACCGATATACTAAACCTATCGACTTATAAAAAATTTGATTTTTTTAAATTTCACACAAGGTGTAATCCGTCTGTCGGAAAAACGGCTTCTAAGGGTTCTAAGAAGCACTAGCATTAATTACTACCCAAATAGTGCAAATAATGTTCAGCTCATTGACAAAACAATGTCTTTCGTTAAAGTATAATTTAAGCTTTTATTTATTATATATATTTTTTTTCAATTACATTCTCAAATTGATTGTTATTGCTGAATATTTCTTCCTAACAAAATCTGTGCACCGATTTCAAAAACAACTAAAGCCTGCGCTTCCAACCAAATGAAATTTTTATTTAATTTTTTTTCTCTTCTAGGTAGCAAAAACACACCGCTTAGTTCGAACCATGTGCCACACATATACCTATTTGTAATAGAATAGTATGAAAAAATCCATACCTAAAGGCAAAGAATATGTTTTAGTTACAACGAAACTCAACGCATATCAAATTACCGGAAGAGTTTACAATAAAAACCTTCCACCTTTTTTTGCTGGCATTAGCGTGAACGGCAATCAACGGTAAATATTCGTCAGCAATCCAGTTAAAAATCATAAAGTTTTATAGGCACATTCCACGCCCAACACGCTTCAATGATGGGGATCAAAAGAGAACTAAAGAGTCGTCGACAAAGTGACGAAGCGCAAGTGGTGTACTGTTGTTCTTTATAGCTGGTGTACAAATGTCAGAAGGCATAAAAATGTCAACAAAGCGTAGGATTTGCGCCATTCCATTTTAGTGTCGTGACTACTCGTAGCTTGTAGTTGGCACTTTGTTAGCTGTAAGCAAAATAGTATACACAACACAAAAGCTAAACACATGTACTTACGTAGACACAGATGTATCGATTACAGTTTTACATTAAAACCCATTTTAGCGCTAAAGCGCCTAAAAGCAAGCTACGTGCTCAGGTTCGTGTGTTTATTTTTTGGTGAATCAGTTTAATTCTTTCAAGCACGAAATATTTACATTTTATAGTGATTGCAGTGTTGTCATTTAGTGTTAAATTGTTACATTTTGCCGTAATTCCCAAATTATGATAATCGTGTAGTGGTTTTTATGTTATTAGGAGATTAATTGTGTGGTAAATGATGATGTGTTTGTAAAAAATATTTAATTTTGATAACTAATGAGACATTAAAATAAAGAGTTTAAAAAACTGACATTTAAAAGTATGCATATAATTGCAGGCAACATATTATTTGTATGTATTATAAAATGTTGCCTACTTTTAGGGACTTAGGGATTATAAATCAAGGAAAAACGTTAACGTGGTGCACTGAAGTTATAATAATCTTCACCAGTACATTTCTTATAGCATAAAAGCGTATACAAATATCTATATTTTAATTTTGATCGGACAGTTTGTATGACAGCTATATGTTATACTAGTCCGATTTGAACAATATATTCGGAAATAGTAGCCTAGTTTTAAACAATATTCCATACGCAATGATATCGGCTATACCGAAAAAAAACAACTTATTGTGAATAAAATGACGTGTGCAAAATTTCAGATTTATATCTCAAAAACTAAGGGACTCTGCTTTTCACGTTGATCATTTATGTAAAATACCCTTTTTAGTGTCTAAGACATTTCGCATGCATAATTATAGGCAGCCATATATATGCTATAAATAAAATATTCTTAACTTTTAAATAAAATTGAAGGGTTTATACTCCTTGTAAATGTCCTACTACATACTTTTGTCATTTCATTATAATTTTGTGATTGCTTTACCTTACTAGTATCACCAACCCATTATATCAGCTACACAATATTGCAATGGGATGGTGAATCTTTTAACAACTTACATATTTTTTAATGCATGTCATAGCGAGTTCTCTATACAACTGCCTCATAAAAACTTATATTGCCTCAAATCTACATATTATATTTATGTAGTGTTGGTTGGTGAATAACTGAATTTTGGCAAAGCTAAATAATTGCGTTAATAAAGGAAATTAAATGTAGTTATTCTTACTAAGTAAAAGTAGGATTTTAATATTTATATAATATATATATTATATTTTTAGCAACAACAAAAAGGTCCTTTGTATTACTTAATAATATTGTATAGGGAAAATTTATTATTTAAAGCTCTACTGTCTTGTGAGCGCAAATAATATTACTTACAAGTCACAATTCCAAGCCGTTTCTGAATTAAAATCTGAGAAGTCATATTAAATATTGTTTATTTATTTTTCAACAGATTTTTTAAATTTATGTAATACATATTTCATTTACACATACATAAATGTATTAACAATGGTGCCAGCACAATAATACTAAAGTAGTTGCTCTTACATACAATTACAGTGAAACCGTGATAAAACGAAACTTTAATTTAAAAAAATAATAATTTTTTGCATTAGTATTATTTCTTAGCTATTGCATGTTGTTGTTTTGTTAGAAACGCTTTCTATTCAGTATTCGAATTTAAATCGAATGTTTCTTACAAAACATTTCAAAAAATTAGAGCTACATTGTCAAATGGTGTCAATGGAAAAAAATTTTAAATCAAGTAAAATGTAGGTGAAATTAATAAATTTTCTACGCCTGTCAGTATGAATAATTAAATTAACAACTATAAAAAAAATCAAATCAAATCAAAACAAAGCAAATCAAATTACGTCAAATCAAATCAAAGTCGATGTCGGGGATCATGTGTGACTCGCAAAATATTTAATTCTTCAATTTCACTGTGTATCCTTAAAATATGTATAATTATACCCTTAACATTTTAAAACAATCGATGTAGTAGTTTCTTTTTATAATTCCCCAAAAATCGCCTTTGTTTTAGCTGTCACACTAGGTGTGTCGCTGAAAAAAACTCGAAACAAGAAAAGAAGCCCCTTACTCTTGAACTCGAAATATGCAGATATCTCTTTAATCTCAATTTAAATTGCACAAAAAGTAATTCAGTAAGCAATTATTTGATTATTACCTCTTTTTTGAGAAAATTAACGTGAAGTTATTCTGTAGGGTTTGTTACATTGACGTTTCACTGCAAAACTACACAAATACATGTATTATATATTTTTAACAAAAACTTATTATATGTTTTTACACACTAAATATTTTAAAAAGTCTAAAAACTATGATTAGCAAAGACAACATTCAAAATAACATACTTCACAATGACATTGACAAAAATGCAGTGGTTCTTATATATCTATACTACATACAAATGGAACTTATATTGTATATAGAATTTCCTTTACATATTTATGCATAAAATACAACAAAAATAACCCTTACTTGTAGGTGTAAGTATAATAAGCAATATATAAATATATATACATTAGGTTGGGTAAAAAAAACGATTTTTTTTACGCTTGGTACTCTAAAAAATTGGTTGATAGGCGCCTCTAAGAAAGTCTCTCCAAGTATTAGCCCTAATATTTAATTTTTTTTTTTAAAGATATTAAACAGTTAGGTTTACGAAAAAATCCTAAGAGACCATTTTGTAGAGCATACAGTTTCCTACAAGATCTATGAAACGAGATATTTTTTCAAGTCGTTGGAAGCGAGATATGAATATTTTCTTTCGATAAGAAGTGAAACATAGATAACTGTAAGGCGGAGGATCTTGCCGTTTCAATTAAGAGCTCATATTTGGAGAGACACTCATAGAGGTGTCTACCAGCCAATTTTTTAGAATACCAAAAAAAAATATATATATAACTTTTTTTATTATATTTAATAGTTAATAATAATAATAAATAATATTATAATAAATAAAATTATTATTATTTATACATAAATTCATAAAAAAAGCAGTGGTGGAAAGTTAAAAGTTCTATGCTAGCAAATACATACACACATAGTGTATGACCAAATATATTTATTTACTATATATATAATTTATGTAAAATATAATAATAATTATAATATTAAATATGTAATAACATATATATGTATATTATATAATATATGGTATATGTAATTGTATATGAGCAAAAAATAAATAAAATAAATAAATGTTAAGCCTTCACATAATGAAACTTTATTTACTTATATTAAGCCATTATATAATTTTTAAAAGTACATTACTTATATAACTATGGTATACCATAAAGTCAATAAAATTTATTAAAAATTCTTTAAGCGCTAATTTTAATTTAACATTTAATTTGATCGTTGTTGCCAAGAAATGTACGATTTTTTTTTCGTAACTGTACCTATATGTACATATTTAACTATATACAAATTGCATAAAAGAAAATTTAAAACTTGTTGCCTGCATTTTCCGTTTTTAAATTCGTTGCCTCACTTTTTACCGCTGCAAGCTCGACAATATTTTTTTTTACATATTCTTGTTGTTGCTTTGGCTATTCAAATTTGTGCACAGCCAACAACTTGAAAGTGTATATGCCGTTTTTGATTTTGCTGTGTCGTTGCTTGTTGCTGCTGTTGTGGTTGTTCCAACACTTGCTGTTGTTTTGCATTTTTTGCTTTTGTGCGCAATTCCTTTTTCAACGCAGTTAAATCGCGCATCTCGATACTTGAACTTTTCGTCCGCGTTGACTTTGTCAGCGTTGCATCACTTGTTTTTGTTAATGTTGCTGCTGCCGCTGCGGCTGCTGTTGTGTTTGCTGTTGCATCAATATGCGTTGGAATAAACGCTGTTGCTGTAGTTGTATCTCACATAAATGACAACTGACGTTGATATTGTTGTTGCTGTTGCAACGTTTGTTGGTGTGGTTGTTGATGGGATGGGTAGTGTGATGTGTGTTCGCAAAACTCACTAGCTAAAGCAACGTCGGAGACATCAGTGAGTGGTCCCCCATTTTGACTTCCATTAGCCATTATAGTGGTCTCTTGCAATCGACTATGGTGTTGTATATCAGTGCATGTGTTTATGGTGTGCGTTGGAAATAAAGAAGTGTAAAAATATTTATTTTTTTAATGCATACACGCTTGAAATGTAGCCTGCTTTTAGGCGGTGAAAAATTTTCAATATTCGGATATGGTTATGAGTAATTTATACAAGATACTTGGAATCATAGAACTTATCGAATAATTATTATAGACAAGAATATATACAAACTCATAGTATATAGTGCGAATGGATTTTTGCCGACTTTTTTGAAAAAGTATAAATTATAATTTACTTTATTAAGTTATAATGATTATATAAGTGATTTCCAATAATTACAGGCAGAATATTCAAGTTTTAGATAAAGGAACCTGGCAAGAAACTTATAAATTCTGAAGTAAAAAGTTTTGTTAGAGTTAAAGTACTCAATAACAAAAATGTTTAAAAGCTTATATACAAGTATATGTACATTGGGGTGAACAAAAAAAAAATTTTTTATTTCTAAAATAATTTTTCAATAAAAGAATGGTGTTTGAGCATTTTCCCTCAAAGGTAACACCTAGTAAGCAGTCCCCTTTTCCGGCAAAATACTTTATTACTATTTTCAAGAGATTTTCTGTAAAATAGTTAGCTTCCAACAAGCACTCAACTAATCCAATTCTCTATAAATAATGGTCAAATATAACGAATATACAGAAAAGAGTCAACTTCAGGTTATTCAAATAGCTTTCACATATACATATCCACACATTTTACATTTACATATAGTATATCAGCACTCACCTTCGTACGGTACTGTGATGATGGCATGTGGAGCGTCGCGTCGACGAGTAATAGCGCTTCGATGCGGTGCTAGTGAGCGATGCGTCGCGATGCATGCAGAGGGTATCGTTGTGTGGGTGTCGTTTTTTGAGGCGTACGCCAGACCCTTGACAAAACAAGTATCTAAAAGAGTGAAATGTGCAAAAGAGCAGCGAAAAAATAATCATACAATAAAATAAAGAAACGCAAGTGAAAACAAAAAAGTGAATAAATTTTCCGGGTGCAAGCAACAAATCACGTATTCAAGTGTGTAAACTGTAGCAGTGTACCATATGTGAACATACATACATATGTGCTGGCAGTGCGCCTAGCTCTAGGCTATGCATTTGTAGTTGTGACATAGTGAGATATATGAGTGCACATAATAGGTCTGTATCTTAACTGCTAGTAGCTGCTAGCTAGCAGGGAGAAGAAAATTGACAGTTACTCTCACAAAGAGCGACATAACGAAACGGAAAACCAGCAGAAATTACCAAGTAAATATCAAAATATTGTTTTTTACAATCACTTCATATCAACACTTGAAAATCGATCAATAGAATTTTTATTTTCACAATTTAAAACAATAAAGATAAACAAAATCAAAGAAAATGCGTCAAGTGTCACTTGTATATACATGTGGTTTAACAGCTGTTTCTTCATATGGCAGTAGCTATTTTTTGCTAGTAGAAATTTCACTAGCAGAAACCAGCAACTCTCTCAGCTTTTTACGCTCTCAACTTGTGCTCTTTTCTGCTAATTTTTGCTGATTTTTTGTGTTATGAAACGCTTTTCCAGCAGAAATTTCGCTAGATAGCGATAGTTAGCAGTTAAGATACAGACCTAATACTAACAGTTTCAGCAAAAAAGAGCGTAAGTCATATATATTTTTTTATAAAAAAATGTGTACATGAAAATAGCTGTAGTGTTATAAGTTGAACTTAAAAAATATAATATATTTTACTATGTAAAATAAATTCATGACAATTGGATAATATGCTACTAGCCTTTACTTGCCCGACGAAAATTTGAGTCATGTTAATTTTAATTATTTATATTCTTCTATATAATACCTGAACAATTATTTTTACAGAATTTCAACTCTTAAGGGACATATTTGTATATTAAAATATATTCTTGCGTTTTACTAAAAAACAGAAAATCTGGTTTAACATATAAACGAATTATCTAAATAAATCCAAGAAAAAATTTCAATTTTGGTTGCACCGAAGCTATTATACCCTTCACAACTGCCTTTCTTATAGCATATTTTGGGTAGGATTTTTATGTTGATTTTGATCGGTCATCTTGTATGGCAGCTATATTTTAAATTAGTTCGATCTGAACAATATGTTCGGAAAATGTAGCGTTACCTTGGAGTATACACGGTGTTAAATTTCGTAACGATAACTTGTCACATAAAAAGGCTGACCATACAAGACGAACATGACTATATCGACACAGCTCGTTATGCTGATCATTTATATACAATATATACCTAATAAAGTATCCGACGTTTCCTTCCGGGTATTGAAAACTTTGTGATAAACGTAATACACTTTGTTCAGTGTATAAAAGCCGTATTCGGTATTTACACTGATTCCTGAATGTAGTACGAACTTTTTTCATGGCTGTGGTGGACTTTGAATACATACTTTTTTATCCCACTTCTTAACATTTAGAAAAAAGGTGTATAACTAGGCTTTCTAGAGTTAATTATATTCGATTAAATGTTTTAAATCTATAAATAAGTATGAAAAGTATTTTAAACTTTGGATTGTATTTAAATTATTTATTTTTCAATATCATTTCGATATGTATCTATCAAAGTAAAGCAAATGCAGCCAATAAGAGATCAATGAGATTTGCCTATCCATTCTGAATGAGTAGCTTAGCTTATTCTTCCGGCATGAGTATTGAGGATCAAATTCATTGCTTGAGATTGGTTAAGTTAGATAAAGAACTAATAGTACCATATAAAATCCTGGCTTATAGTTTTGAAGGATTTGCTGAAATAAAAAGATTGGTACTGAAAAAATTCCCTACAGAAAACTAATTGTGCCTACTCTAACGGTAAATAACGGATTTATAATGTCAAAAAAATAGTTAGTGAATCGTATGATGGTGACATGTACGAATGTGTGCACGGGACAGCTACCAAAAGTGCTGTATAAAGAAAGAAAAAAATGGTAAAAATACACACTTGAGACTTAAGCAGCCAATTTTACGTAACGCGATTTGATTTCTCGTCGATAATAATAGCTTTCCAAAAGCAAAATGCAAGTGTGTTGCTCAATACATAAGTGCGTAAATACGCAACTAAAGGCTAGAGCAGATGACCATGCAGAGCAATCAAACTATGCTTCCTATTCACTGTGTGAGTTTTTAAGAAAATCGTTTTTTTTTTTAGTTTTTGCTTAGTTTTCTATCCTATGTGCGTATACTCAAAATCAGCTTTCGCTCAATTTATTTTCAATATTTCTTTTTTTTTGTTGTTGTTGTTGTTTTTTGTTTAGGTGCGTGTGTGCTTCGTTTTAGCGCATAACTTTGATTTATATTAGATTTATATTAGATTTGCGTTATTTGCTTTTAAATTCATATGCTTTTGCAACTTCCTTACCCTGTTCGGGCAGGAGGTGCCTGTATGTCATGCGTCAGCATTGTAGTGAATAAACAAATACCTATTGAAATGTTTGCGGAAGGCGCCGCTAACAAAATACAAAGCCACCGGATTGGCGCAGCTGTTGGCAAAGGATAAGCAGAAGCCAACGATGCGTAAAACATGCCAGAAAGAGTTGTAGTCGTCCTGTGCGGTGGGCCTACAAATCACGTCGAATAAATAAAAAGGAAATTAAAGTAAAAGAATGTTGTTAGTAGTATGTATTGCTTGGTTATTAATATGGTAGATAAACATTTTTACACAAATATATAATGTATAATATATATAACGATTATATAAGTATTTTATGTACAAAAGATTTCCTTTGGATTAACCGTGCTGGCACAAGTATTTGATATACTGATATTATGGCCTAGATTATGGTACAGCGGTGGTCGATAGTTTGACATTTTATTTAGTCGATTACAAAAATATATTTAATTTAGTAAATTTATATAATATATATATTATATATTGTTTGAGTATGATGAGCACGCGGTTACACCCAAGTAATAATAGCTTTCAATAATACAAAAGACTCCCTAGAGGAATTTGGTTTTGATCGGTCAATTTGTATGACAGCTTTATGCATTGCATCATCCTCTTCGGCAATAACTCATGACAAATCTTGAATTTACACTTTAGAGTTGTTTAAAATTAGTATCGAAACCTTATTACTTCCATCATTATCTGCTAAATATATTTAAGAAGGTCACGTGAAAGTTTCAATCGGTACAGCCGTTTCAGAGATATACAATTTTGAGAGCCGATTACACCAAGCTAAACAATTCTTACAAATACGCTCATACCTCCGAAATTATTTGCCGAATAAAATTAAATTTTTTGGTGAATATTTTCAAGTGTATGTACATTCGATGGATAAGCAACAAAAATTCAAAGTGTTGAAATTCTCTAAAGCCCCTCAACAAAATCCCATGAAAAATAACCACAATAACTCGAAGCTCGAAAAGGATCTGCAAGTAGCTATTTGCAACAACTGACTTTAATACTTGTAGCTTATTTTTTGCTTTCATGGTTGGTCTTTAGTAGCAATGATGATAACAGCTTGCCGTATACTGTCAACTTTTTTTCTCAGATATCAATATTTCAAAAATTAAGACAGTATTTCGTTACATATATAAATTAAAATTTTTTTTCAATTTAATTTTTTTATATATTTTTAAAAATCCGACTTTGGCATCTGGCATATATTTACCTTTTCAGTCAGATAAATACCAAATAGTTATTAAAAATTTTTACAATAACCTCAATTTCAAAATTCGAACGCAATTATTTCCATTTTGGAGAACCAACTGCTAGAAAGTGAGAAATTCCTTTTTTCTTTGACTCAATCTCCCGAAAAAAATTGATTTGGTCCAATACTCAGACAAATATTGTACAGTGTAATTTTCAAGCGTTTTTGAAAAAAAAATTATTAAAAATATAATAATAAATAATTTTTTTCTATTTACCAACAATATTTTTTAACTGATCCTAGTGTTGATCATTTTATTTTTAATTTTTAGCGTTAAAATTCAAGTAATATATTTTTGTTATACTGTAAACTCATTAATTTTGCTTAATAAATAAAAATATATAAATGCTAAAATATTGCCCACTACTGTATACCTTCATTTAGCTTAGTAGCTTTTCCCCTCTTATGTAGATAACTTTGTATACAGTTTATTCTGCTATTACTTTTTCCCACTTTCTTATACTTACCAATAATAGAACCAAAGCATGAAGATGTGATAGGGCATAAAGCAAATTCCAAATATAACTACAAATGCTAGTACAGTTACGGCCACCTTTCGACGAGCACGCACCTGCAATGACATGAAAAGGCTTATGAAATAAATTCTAGATGTAGTTTAAATGAAACATATAGTTGTACAAGTATATACTTGTACATGTGTAGTTATGCATGTGATGAAAAGTTTTGAAAGTGTTGAGAGCAATCAAATGCATACAAAGTCTAGATTGTGAGCAATACAAGAATGCTTAAGCTTCAGCTTTTGTTGAATAAATATAGGTGATAATGAATTGAATAACGGTATACATATATATTATATAAATGATCAGCGTGACGATTTGAGACGATTTAGCAATGTTAGTCTGTCTTTCCGTCTATATATAAGCGATTAGTCCATCAGTTTTTGAGATATCGTACATGTCCGTTTCTCTGACTACTGTAGCATACAACTGCAATGCAAACTGATCAATAAAAACTAAGTCCTTATATGGATAACTGTTTTACTACAAAAGATATCTTCACGAAATTTGGCATGAATTATTATCTGAGATAATATTTTAGTCGCCGAAGAAATTGTTCAGATCGGATCACTATAGCATATAGCTGATATACAAACTGATCAATCAAAAGGAAGGACCTTCTGGTATGGAAAACTTCTTTTATTTAAAAATATGTTTTCACGAAATTTGCAATTAATTATTGCCTAAGGCACTAGTACAATCTCTTCACATATTATTCATATCAGACCACTACAGAGTATAGCTGCCATACAAATATGTTCTTGTGGTATATGTAAATTTTCTTGTTTGATTTGTTTTTTATATTTTTTGTTAACTACTATTTGAGCCGATTCCATCATGTATTTCCTTAACCCTTCAACTACACAGGTTAAAAAAATTAAAACTTTACAATTTTAAGTTGCGCCATGAAATTTATATTTAACGCTTACATTACTTAGACCAACCCTTTATACCAAGCAAGCAAGTCTATCACTTCACCAAAAATTAGATTTCTACCCTTCTTCTCAGTAGCGTTATTAGAGCACTTTTTCTGTTTATGCCAAATTAACTGGTGCTGTTTTCATAAATGAGCATGATTGAATGAATTTCTTATCAATTTGATAAGGGCCACTTTGGGCACTTTCGTTTCTTAGCAACAATGAAATATACCGTTATAAGCTTTTACACAAACCACACTCTTTTGGTGAGTTAATTAACTCACAGTGAATTTGATGACGAAAATGCTTTAAAAAAAACGCATTAGTGTTTGTAGCTGTATGTGTGCGAAAATTGATCCATATTTTCTTATGAATTGACTTTCCCGAATTAATTAATCATCGGCGTTGTATATACAGGAGTATACTTCAGTTACTTCCAACCAAATTCTACCACAATCAGGAAAAGGGTGTTATTTAATTAGTCACACTAGCAAATGGAGAAGGCAATCATATGGTTTGCATTACAGCTTTTTATAAGGTACAGTGTTGGGATTTCTGTTAGTGGAGAGGCAATATTTATATGATTCATTGTAAGAGATTTGAATTCGTTTTGTTGTAATGTTATTTCTGAGTAATATAATGTGGAAAGTTTTTGTGTTTACAGAACAATATTTCATACTTTTGTACAAATAATGGTAATAGCTTGGACCAACCACTAAAAGCGCTGTGAAGTCAAATTATTTCAATTTTTAACTCTGAGCTATTGCTAGATTAGTCAAAGTATCTTGAAAATATAGTAATTTCTACTTTAATTTTCATTTTGGACAAAGAAAAAAGTCAGCTGTAATCCAATTAAATCGAGAAAAATCTCGTACAATTAAAAATTACAAATGGTAAAGAGTGAAAAAATATCATAGTACGATGAAACCAATTGGAAAAAGAAAGTAAAGTAACAAAAATGGAATAATAAAATATGAGCGATCTGAGCGCGAAAAGAGTAAGAAGAGGGGGTGGTGTTGAATTTTTAAAGGCTAAAAACGGCTTATCACGATTTCAAGCAAAACTACGAGTCCTACGGAAAAAGGTTAAGGGGCTAACTTGTAGGCAATACAAAATCTACAACTTTCGAGCGAAAATAAAATTACTTCAAAATTTTGTCACTAAATTTCAGTTTTACCCAACACTATGCAGCGCACCCTCTCTGTCAGCACGCGTTTCGGATAACATTTTCTCCGTCTTTGATTAATGATGCTACTTGACTGAGTTCTTCAACTACGATTTGTAACTGGTGAAACCAGACCTTCGTCTACACTAACTCATATACCCCTACATACATATATATGAATAAATATTACTGTTGCTTAAGTATAAGTGAGTGTGCTGCTTGTGTAAAATGTTTTGGTGTAGCATGAAATGCTAATTTCCGACTCACCTGTCGCACGGCTCCCTGCATTTCACCCGGCACGCTCGCCGCGTACATCAAATGTCGCGCGATCAACACGTAAAAGGCGCCGATTATACACAATGGAATGGCGTAGTAGACTAAAAAGCGCATTAGGACCATCGTTTTGGCGTACTCAGCACCCCACTCCTGCGGAAAGGGGTAGCAAAGTGCGAATGATTTGTTGCTATTGATTTCCAGTTGCTGTTTGCGTGCAAAGAAATCAGGAATGCAAAGAAAAATCAAAGAAAAAAAGATATGTGAATCAAATTATGCGCTATGCTGAACATTTACTTATAACGAACATGTTTATACGAGTATATATGTATTTAAGAGTATATCCGCTAGACCGAAACATTGCGCTCACCTTCACATTGGTGCCGATGAGCGCGGGCATAGCGCAGAGTATCGCTAACAGCCAAATGGACACGGCAATAGCGATGGTCATACGTGTGGCACGTTTGCCGCCACCTGCAATGAAGCAAAACAAACACACACACATACATGTTTATATAATATTTTTATTCACACACCACTGTACAACAAGTATATATATGCAAGTGGGTGTGTCTGGAGATTGCAATCGAACGTGTAATCTACTTACCGTGCGCATGGAATTTTCTTAATGGGTCCACTATCGCAAAGTACCGGTCACCAGAGAGTGCTATAAGTGTGAAAACGGAAACGCCAATCGACACGTCTTTAATAAATTCAGACGATGTGCATAGGAAGCTGCCCCATGGCCACGAGTCCACCGTGTAGACAGTGGATGTTAACGGCACCGTGGTGAGGATAAGCAGCAGATCCGCAATTGCCAGCGAGAGTATGTAGCTGCAATATAAAAGCAATTAAAGGTAATGGAAAACATGGATTATAAATATGAATATTGAAGAAATATTAATAAAGCAGCGAATAAAGAATATAAATTAATGCTATTGTGTGGCGGCGCCACTATGACCAAGTGTTATATACAAGACTAACAGATTTACCGGTGTGATTACTGCGCAATTGATGGATGACATTGTTTACCCATGCAATACTGTTTCAATTTGGAGATTTAGAAATTTACTACCGGAGAGCATTTCGATTGCAACATTAGGGTAAAAAATTTAATAAAAATAATATTTAATGAAATCACACGAACTGCCCTTTCAAAAAAATTTGTTTTATGTGGATTCATAAAAAAAAACCGTTTTTCGTTATAATCGAGTTGCTACCATGCTGAATTTTTTGTGCGAATAGTCACTTTTCAGCCTGTCATTAGTTAGAAAAGAAAAGTACTAGTTTAGAGGTAGTTTTCGGTGAACTACTTAGAAAACGGTTGGATAAGTAGGAATTAGAAAGAATTTAGATTTATTTGAAAAAAAATGAGAAAAACGTTAGGAAGCAATAATACGCTTAACAAATAAAAAAGTTTCCATATAAGCCCTTGATATTGATGGTTCAGTTAGTATGGCAACTGTATGCTATAGTGGTCCGATCTTAACAATTCTTTCGGAGATTTTAGCATTACTTTAGACAATATTCACGCCGAATTTCGGTAAGATATCTTCTCAAATAAAAAAATTTCCGAAATTGTTTGCAAAGGCACCTTTTAGCTAGCAATGCATCATCAAACTGGTTAGAAGAGAACAAGTTTAACTATTGTAGTTTTCCGAACTGAAAATTAAGTAGTTAGAAACGAGTCCGACAGAAAATAATAAAAAGGAATTTCGAAAAAAAGTCGAAATCCAAAGTCGAAAATTATTATTATATCGGGTATATTGGGGCTAGGAGAAAGTCTAGACTGAATGTCTTAACTCTTAGCATTGCTAAAGTGTAGTCGAGAATATTTCCACGCAGTTTTATGAATATAACTCAGACATTGATCGATATATTCAGCATAAAGTCTCTCTGGGTTTAATTACAATAAGATAATTCACCGATATATACTGTATAAAGTCAACGGTAACTGATATATACTGTATAAAGTCAACGGGAAGTTCGAAAATATTTATATTAGATAATTAACAGAATAAATATATCTTCGAATTTTAATAAAAGATCTCACAGATTGACCGATATTTGTAATAAAAAGTCAGCTTGAGGTCCTGAAGTTCATATTTTCGGTATCTTCACGTTTTACGAAAAATCTTTTACAAAAATTTTAAATTTGAATAAATTCGTTTCACAGCACTTCTCTTCTATGGAGTATTATATTATATATGTACGTCTGTGTCTTTGTGAAAATTCGAAATATCAAATCACACGAGACATCTCCGGCATTTAATAGAAATATTTAGTATTTTATCTAAGCTGATTTATTGATTTGTTTAATAATGGACGACGCTGAGCTAAATGGTAGCTCTCATAGCTGCGATTGGCTGCTGGAAATTACGATTAGTATATGAAATACAGTAACAACAAAAATTTGGAAAAACTAAAAATAAGAATATCCAGTGTCGTTGTGACACTCATTTGGGCTAAGACCAATTTATTAACACGATATCACTCTCAATTACAATGCAGAGAAGACAAATTGTCTATCATAAATTTTCTAAGGAACACACTCAGACAAACGCATAGCAGCTGAACTGCAAAGAAATATAGCCAGTACTGATAGACTCATATCTATAAACATACTGGTACTCGTGTTCTTTCTGCTCTGCAGCTTATCTGCTTAAGTTCTCGCCAAGTGTTACAGATTTTTGCTGACATTAATCAAAATTGAGACAATTTGGTTTGACAGATAAAAAAAAACAGTGCTAAGCAGACGTTAGGAAGCTAAAAGAAAATGAACTGCAATGATTGAGGCTGTAGTAGCTATGAAGAGCAACCAATGATGGAAAAGGTTTTTTTATATCTTTTTTATTTTGTCACTCGGCGAGTTACTATTTTGTTGTAGAGTAAAAAAAACGTTTATGTCATTTGTCTGGACATAATTTATAAATAAATGTGGGCGAGTTCAGGTGGAAGAGAAAAGAGAGTACATTGACTTTATACATACATATGTAGCTACATATAGGGCGACATATAGGTTAGAGGCGTACTTGTATAATTTTTTTGAGGAATGGCGCTGTCAAAACTGTCACTGCTGTCAAAGTAAAAATGTGATTTAGCAAAAGCTTACACCAAAATTAAAACCAAACACTTTTTTTTTGTGTTATTCAAAAGTGGAAAAAAATATAAAATACACGAGTCCATATGCCTAATAATTCCGTTCATACATTAGATGTTCACCCACAAATTTGTCTTTTTGTTATTCGAAACAAAATTCTAAAACTTTGAAAGAACACCTTATACAAAAACATTTTTGCAGTTTATGAATGAGCTTACAACTCTGAGTACAATATGATATGAGGCTTAAGAACACACTTCAAATAGCTCTAACTATAATATATGCCCCTAAAAGCTGTGCAGTTCATATATAATATGTACCTCATATATATGTACTTTTATTAGGTTGTACGTTATTTCCAGTTTATATGACAGCTACAGTACACATATGCTATAGTGGTCTGATATCGGCTGTTACGACAAATGAGTAGCTTCTTGCTGTTGGAAGGACGTGTGCGAAACTCCAAATTGATATATCAAAAACTGAGAGACTAGTTCATCTATATACAGACCGAGGAACGGATAGACAGACGGACAAGCCTAATTCGACTCAGATCGTCACGCTGATCATTTATATATGTACTTTAAAGGATCTTCGTCGTTTCCATTTGGGTTACAAACATCGTGGCATACTTAATATATTCTGTTCAGGGTATAAAAATTCAACTTGGAAGTAACTGACACCCTAATATGTATATACATATATGATATAAATAGACAAGCTCACTAAGAGATTTCCATTCCTTAAATGGTACACGATAAATTATTAATTAAAGCTTATTGTTTTTTTTTGTTCGAAGTCGTAGAGATTTACTAACTTTTCCCGTTGCTTGCTCATCAAAACATAACTTATTTTACCTTTACCATTAACCAATTATGCACGCAGTTGACAAGTATCAATTGGTTTTGTTGCAAAAGTATAACACAACTCAATAGCGCCGAAGTTAAAGTTAGTTACGTTTTACTTAACTCATCTTCATCACTTCCCACAGCCATTTTAATAACACATCTATCTTTGGCGCCACCTTTACTACACACATACATATATAAAGTATGTATGCATGTATGTAATTGAATTTCGTTGAAGGACAGTCGTGATTACTTTCGAAAGTTTTCGCATTCATTCTTTGGCAGTGTTCGCAAAAGCAGATATTGATTTATATGTATAAGTAGATGTGCATGCTTATATGTATGTGTTAATCCGTTTGTCAGTCAAACTTAACCACAAAATTAATCACAGTTCAGAAGTGCTGAAAAGAAAGTACGATAGGCAAAAAGAAAATCATAGAAAGCAGTAAGATTACTTATTTATAATTACTAGTAAAAGTCTTTACTATTAAACGTTGTGAGCATAATAAAAAATAAACAAATAAAATTCGGTATTTGGTATCAGAAGTCTAACTATATAGTTTGCTATGACGCCGGACATCGTTGGTACTCGACAAATATTCAAAATGATGACCTTAATAACTGTATTCAACCCGAAAAGCACTAATACCAAGACCAAATTGCTTGCGTTCTTCAAAGATGTTTGATGAGGCCTCACTGACTAATTTATTTATTTTTTTTTTATTTCTTTCGTGAAAATGGCGTCCAGACAATTATTGCAGCGCAATTTCCAGCTGAAGTTTGTTAAATAATGTTTTGTAAAAGAAATGACTAGATAGACTGCTTGAGGCTTAAGAAATTATCTTGCAATAATTTCAGATATTAATTCTGGTATATGCTAAAATGTTTAGGTCTGCGTTTATATCTAAAATGCTGTAGATCATTTAGTGGTACAGTGATTATATCTTATACAAAGAGTATCGGTTAAATTGCTTCATAATTTGCGGTAAATTTGATTTGCACAACGAAACAATTTTATTTTAAACCCAGATATTATAAAAATTTTAACCTACAATTTCGATAATTCATAAAATATTTCTTAAACCTTTACACTATTGCTTCTAACCAGTCATTTATTGATATTTGATTCAGGGTTTCAATTTGTCAATATTTCCATACTAGTGGCTGCATATGATAAGCTTCTGCCTATATTATTTGGTAGCAATGTTCAAATTGCTTCGCTCTAAACAAAGACCACCATCCTATGATGTGCCGATCTTACAGCAGTCGGGTCGGAATAGACCCGGATATATATTTGACCAAAAACTGTTAACTCGGCTACATTCTCAAAATTGTTTAAAGAAGTTTTTCTATCGCTACCACAACAACATCACTTGTAGTTAGGTTCGAAATATAATATTTCAAAGCAACTACAACTCACTTTTGCCGGCCAATCTTCGAAAGAATTGCCACAATAAAAAGGCTTCAACAAAAAGTTCATCAGACGATTCAAGCCGACTTAAAATTTTCAGTATCCTTTATTTTTGTAAAAATTAAAAAAATAGATGACGAATTTGAAATTCTGATGCTCTCAGCTATGTCCACCACTGTAGCTTTCCGTGCTGTTAACGAGTGCAATACTGTGCGCTATTCATAAGTAAATTAATATATGATATTATCAAAGCTATGAAAAGGCTGTAGGTAAGCGGATTAAAGCGAAAAATGCATTGCAGTTCAGGAAATTATATTTTTGCACGCAGGTAAAAACTGAATAGTTTAGACAAATTCATGGAATTTCATAAACTTACGCTGTATACAAAAAGAAATATAATTTTTCACAAACAATGCAAAATCGAAATCTAAAAGAAATTGAGTGAATTAAAAAAATAAAAATAAAAATAAATAAACTGTGCGTATGTATGAGTACACGCGTTTAAAAAAATATCGTAGAATTTCAAACAATAAATCGCTTCAAAGTAAAAATTTTTTTACTCGTACTACTGAAATATTAAGCGTATATAAATTTATATTTTTAAACTGAAAAATATATTTTGTTAATTGATTCTTTTTTCATGCAAACAAATATGGTTATATTTTCGAATTTTCAGCTTTAACGAATTTATTTCAAGCTTCCTTTGCACTTGTATGTTTTAAATCCTAATGAAGACACCTAAGTTAAGGCCAAAAGATAAATACATACAATTTGTGCATTATTTGCTATGTATTATCTTTTGACTCTTTGCTGTATTGGTTATTTGTTTAGTAGGCAAAGTAATTAGTTTGCAAGCAGCAAATACTCAGATGCAAGGTTTACAGTTGCATTATTTGTCATCAATTGTCTTGATGATGAACTAAGTACTGATTCAAGCATATGGGAGCAGGTAAATACATTCATTTGTATGGAAATATCGAACTGGTAATCAAGTTGTAATCAAAATGCATTCCAACAAAGGAGCTGAGTACACAAGCAACTCGATTATGCCACAATTCCCCAAAGTTGCTAATGCGAACATATACATGAGTAGTTGTGTATGGTAGAAATTGTAATTGTAAATAGTTTGAGCTTACATATTATAAGTTTATGTGTATTTATGATAAACTGCTGACTTGTATATAAGCACTAAGGCGGAGATATCTTTAAAATTAAAAAAAAAATTATTATCTTTTTCATAAAATGTTAGCATTTGGAATTCATTCTATTAGTGCAATTTAAACACAATTTTTTTATTTTATAAAGTATTTTAAGGCGTTAAACAAATGTTACTTCTTGGTCTTCGACAATTTGCATCGACCAACGACTTTCGTTTATCCACATTCTCAAGATCAAAATTGTCGGAACAAAATTTTTTGTGATTCATGCTTGGTCATCAAGCCGGAATATTATTAAATAATTGTATTAAAATAGCAGTTAAATTTTAGAATAAAAAACAGCTTGTTTTGTATAAATAAACAGTTATTCACACAAGGTTGCAGCATTGAAATCAATACTCCACAATGAAATTTCCTTTACTAATATTCCTCTTAAGAATCTCAGCAGCGGCACGCATTTCACGTAAGACGTAACGTATTTAATTTTGTAGGTCCTTAATTGCAGCACGTAATGCCTTAACTGAAATTAGCCTCTACGTGTGCATGTACAAATAAGTACGTCAACACTGCATATAATTATGTGACATAAATGAATAAACAAACAGCCCGAATGCCAAGAATATTAAAGACTTTTGAAAATACAATCATCCGGCAACGAATTGTTACATTTGCGCACATTTCAACCTAATGTCAGCCACTGACACACAGTCTGAAGACCCTAAAAATATATTTTTATTGAAGACGTTTTTTGAGCAGGTGGGCCATTCATGTAGTGCCTTAGCGTATTTTTGTATTTATTTTTTTTTTGACAGCAGACATTTTTCGCTTTTTTCTAATTATTTTAAAAACGCGTGTCATTGTTATTATTATTCCATTCATGACTTTATACGCTCTTGTCACATTTTTTTTTTTGCCTTTTCGTTTAAAGCTACTTCTATTCGAATAAAATATTACTCATACGCAATGTTGTACCATCGGAAATGCTTTGTAGCAGACATTTAAATGTTGGATTATGCATTGAAATCTATGTAAACGACCGGGTTCCTCAATAGTTTCTAAAGCTAAAGTTAAAACTTAACTTATTAAATTTTAATAAATATACATGTACTATATATATAAAATTAATTTTAAAAATCTAAGTAAGGATATATTAAAAACAAAAATAGTTTATTTTTAAATAATATTTTTCTCTTCAAATAAATAATTACTCTCAAGAAAATCGAGGTTTGACTTGAAATCCTTGGAACCCTTGGAAATCATTATTGTATTTAATAATTTATTAAATTTAAAAAAAAAATTAATAAAAATCAAACAAAAGAAAAATATTATTAAATTAAAATTAAATTATTAATTTTAAAAAATGAATTTATTCTGTCAAAAAAGTCATAGACTCCAAAATAAATCGAGTATAAAGCGAAAAGTTTGATTTAAGAGCCTCAATCAATTAAAAACAGCTGGGAACCCTGGTTGAATATTTTTTCTGTTGTACAGAGCCTTTTTTTTTATTTTTGATAGATATTCAGCTGTTTTAATGTATTTCATTGTTCATTAAAAAAAAATGTATATATAACCACGCCCACATCTTACTTACGCCCCCTGTTACGCACCAACAACTCACACACACCACGGATCACGCCCAATCAAACTCTCAACTACTTACGTATTCGGCACATTACGCATCTGTCGCACACCGAGGAAGACCACAATCAGTGTACCATTGCCCAGCACGCCCACAATGAAGATAAGTGCAAATAGCACTGGCACGATGTACGTTTCCGGTCGCATAACATACGGTACATATGGCGTTTCGTTGACCGCTGTAACGTTGCTGTTACTACTCATGTTGCTGATGCTATTGTTGTTGTTGTTGTTGTTATACATAAAGCTAGCCGTAGTGCTTAAGGCTTGCATAAAGCTGTCGACGTACGCGACGACTCCACCAACGCCGCTATCATCTCGATTTCCGCCACCATTTCCCCCGCCCTCATCCATCAAGCTGCTGCCGTTGCTTATTCCCGCTATCGCTGTGGCTGCGGTTGTGGCGCGCGTTGTCAATTCCCACAATGACAATGTGTTATTTGTGGTGACGCTGCTGTAAGTTGTTTTTGCTTCTGCCACTAGCGTCTGCTGTAGTCCGTTGTTATTCCATATAGCGTTCGAGTCGTGGCTTAAACTCGCCACGCCGCTGTGTGCCAGAGTGGCCACTGCTATGGCGGCACTCGCAGCGCCATAAAATAATAAATTTTTCATTGTGCTAGCACTTGTTGTTGTGGTTTAATTTCTATTCTTAGTTTTGTTTTGTTTCGTTTATGCGCGCTTTGCTTCGATTCCGCCTCCAGCTGTGTTTTGTATCGTTGGGCGTCAAGTATCACTTCACTGTGTTGCTTTGGCGTTTCCTGACTTAATTTTTTGTTGCGTTGTTTCGCTGTCGTTGTTCTGTTCATGCCGTGGAGGCTGAAAAGTGAATAAATTTTCTGTAATTAATAGTTGACCTGCTGCGCTAGTTTAACTTAGAACCATTTAGTGGCTTAGTTTATTAAAGTGTGGAAGTGTGAAAATAATGAAAGCGGAAATGCGTTTATTTGGTTGTAAACTGAGTGGATTTAACTAAAGATGAATAGAAATATTATTTTGTAGAATTTATAAAATTTAACATGTGAATTTAAAATTTTTATTATTTTTATTATTATAGAATTTTCATTGAACTATATTCATTTTTTTTAATATTTTTAAATATGTACATATGTATTGTATATATATAATAATTTGTTTTTGTTTAGTATTTAATTTTTTTTTCAAAACTTTTACTGTGTAAACTCAAAGTAGTTATAATTATACCCTTAAAAATTTAAAACAATTGATACAATCGTTTTTTTTAACAAAAATCGTCTCTTGGCTAACACACTAGTTGCCGACTTAATTTCCTAAAAAAAAAATTAGTTATTTAAGTACGAATAGGAAATATGCTTTATATTATATAATAAAAATATATCATTTTTTTAGTGTTCAAAAATATTTTTAATTTTTTTTTAAATTACTTCTTATAAATTTTATTTAACATTTCTTTATATTTACATGAAATTCTAATGCTTAATAACTTTTTTGATCGTTAATACCTGGCTTAGAATTAAATGAATTAATATTTGTGATAAAAAAATTGATATCGATAAAAACATGTAAAAGTTATGTATTAGCCACATGTTGTTGTATTAGCCATGTAATAATTCAGTTGATTAAGCTGTTTGAATTTTTTTAAAAATGCTTTAAGCTAAATATATCGATAGATAGCGCTGTGGCGATATCATGATGATGATATCCATAAGTTGACTATTATTTTTATGCAGTCTTGTTGATAGTCACTAAATTATATTGATGTTGTTGAAAGAATTATTAATTTTATAGCATTCATTTGAACCTAAAAGCCAATGTAACTTGCACCATTTAAGTCAGCTTTACGAACTTACGACCACGTTTACAGTCTATTTAAATTTTTCTATATTTTTATTTTGTCATAGATTGGAAATATGTGATAAAATTCAGTGCCAGAGTAGAGAGAACATGTATACACATGTATATTAAAAACACGTACGGCTGACCAACAGGGCGTATGATGAACTCGTTCAATGTAACCATTTACCAAGCTTCGATTTTGTTTGTTTGCTTTGCACTTCTTCTACATATATTTTGCACAATTTTATTTTTTCTCAACTTTTTGTATCTAAATAGAGTAGGCTTAGTTAATAAATTGCCACACTCTGCTACAAAAAAAACTTTCTCTTCTGCTGTACAATATAGTACATACTACACTTCCGCTGCTTCTACAGTCATGTGATGCTGTGCATCCATTATGTTGTCAATGTTTTGTGCTTCATATCGCTGTCGTGCAACGCATAGCATGTTGAGCTGTATAATTTTTCCACTTTGTTTATTTGTTGTTGCTTGCTTTGTAAAAGTTTGCTACTATTTTGAAGTGTGTTAGTTTGTATGCAAACCGTCGCATAGGTCATATCAGCTGTAATTGCCACAATTATTCATTTTGAAAATTTTGAAAATTCATCAATGTGTTATGTATGCATGCCTACAAGTCATAAAATCATGTAATGTTCCTTTATACCGTTTTTTGGTTTTGTTTGCGTATGTGCATATATAAAAACACGAGTAAGAGGGAAGATATTTTTGAGAAATTAATAATGATTTTGAGATTATTTTTGTAACACTTGTGTGCTATAATGGATCGAAATATATGTATATGAAACAAGATATAAGGTTAACTACAATATCACCGAAGCTTTAATACCTTTCACAGGTACATTTTTTATAGCATGAAAGGGTATAAAAAGATATTTGTCTTGATTTTTACCAGTCAGTTTGACCAATATTTTGATCTACACTGTTTACTTGGAGATTGTGCCGTTGCTTTGGACAATAATTTCAACTAAATTTCGTGAAGATATCTTTTGAAATAAAAAAGTTTTCTTACAAGGTATTGATTTTGAGTGATTAGCGTGTATGGTAGCTATATACTATAGAGTTCCGAACTTTATTCTGTAATGTATTGCCCATTTTGGTCAATGACCTTTTGCCATCTTTCAGACAGCATCATAATCTCACATTCATAAAACTTACTTTATTAGCAAAAACCCGAATCAGGTACGATGTGACATCATCATCATTATTGACATTTTTAACCATTCAAGGAGTTTTGTAAAGATCGAAACAAAAAGTAATCCGATGGTGCAAGGTCAGGACTATATGGTGGATGTGGCAAAACATCCCAACCAAGCTCCAATATTTTTTGCCGAGTGACCAAAGAGGTGTTTGGCCTTGCATTGTCATGATGGAATACACGACCTTTTTGATTTATAAATACGGACCGCTTTTCTTCAACTGCATTGTTTAATTTCGTTAGTTTTTCAATGTAGACAACAGAATTGATCGTTCGGTTGGGCGGTAAGAGTTCAAAGTAGACAATTCCTTTATAATCCCACCAAACTGATAACAAAACCTTCTTTTGATGAATACCAGCCAAGTGGTTTTAAGTGATTTTCAATGCATGTATGTGATACCTAACGATTCAAATCGATTATTGCTTTGATTAGGTCGTCATCAACTTCGACTGGACGACCAGAACGTTTTTCATCATTGATTGAAAAATCATTAGAACGAAATTTGGCACACCAATTTTGACACTGCTATTCTTTTATGGCTTCGTCGCCATAAACAGCACATAACTTTTCGTGAGCTTGCTATGCGTTTTTCCCTTTGCGAAAATAAAAAAGCAAAATATGACGAAAATGTTCCTTTTGATCTTTCATTTTTCAACGAACGCCAAACGAAGACTACGCAACCGATCAAAAAACTTTTTTTTACTGATTGACGGCTGAATTGCCAACTATCAAATAACAAAATGTGTTTTACATTTGGACTACGCCAGCAAACCGAAAAATTCAACTGAAGTCATCTATGTGTAAAATTCGCAATTACTTAGTTGCCAACCCAATACGTTATATTTTATAAGGTCACCAATGTTTCCTTTTGGGTATTACAAACTTTTCAGCAAACGTATTTTATGAGCTAATTTGCGCTATCCAATTATTAATAATAATTTTTAGTGGTAATTGCTTCAATACTCCTAAAATATTATAAAATTAAAAATTCTAATAATTTCTACTTTGCTGTTTTTTTTTTTTGTGCTTTGTTCTAAAAACAACATATCTAAATAAATATTCGTGTGTTAGCAAATTTTCGCATGACCTAGTGACAATTCTGAATTCTATAGCATTTCCATTTCATTGCATTGAATATATTATATATATATAGCAAATAATAGGCGCATAATTACATTAAAATATATGTATGTATTATATAATATTGTGAAATTAGTAAACAAAAATACTAACTGCTCCTAATACGCCATTATTACAGCCACTTAAATAACAGTGTAATGAGTATTTAATAGATTTGATTGTCGAAAATCGCCACAATGGTAATTCATAATGACTGGCTAATAACACAATGGCACATTCATTTGCTGAAATTTTGTAAATTAATATGCATGTGGGAGTTTGTATTTACACACACAAACACAGCAGTATCTGTGTGTCATTAGAATAAATATTTATGGTTTTAATTAAATTGTGAAGACAGAGCTCATATAACCATTATATGGTGTAGGCAATATAATAAAATTATATAAACCAAAACAATAATTTAAGTTCTTAGTGAATATTTTGGTATTTATTGCATATTTGCCATATTGTAATATAAGTTTGTAATTTTATAAAAAAAATGTATATATATAAATTTTTTTTTCTTATAGGGTTTTTTTTATAAATTTATATAACTTAAAATAATCTAAAATATGCAAATTTTACTTAAGCTAGTTTAAGGATTAGAATTCAGGTCTTTGAACTGGCCAGCAGGGCGTATGATGAACGTTGCAATTTTTGCGATTCATTAAAACACAATGTCACGTATAGATATTACAACTATGTGCTCACTATAAAAATCACTTGATTTGTAGTCCGTCAATCTGGGACGATGACAAACTATTTTCACATTTTACATTTTAAACTCATCATAAAACTGCGATTAGACAGAAAGTTGCTTTGGACGTCTCTTTCTAAGCTTACGCAAAAACCACCAGCTCCACACTTGATTACTATTCTTCCAAATCGGTATATATTTTAAATTTTTATAATTAAATCATGTTCGACTGCGTTGAAAAATAAGTCATATTAATTAGTTTAAAATTTCAGAAATATACAATTTATACTTTTATAAAAATTTAAAATTAATGTTGAAAATTTTTCAAATCTATCGAGAGCTATAGTATTAATAAAATTAAAAAAATTAAATATATTCACTTTTCTTTAGCCTCATGTTATGCACACTACGATTTGTTTAATGTCATGTCGGGGCGTATGAGTAACTTTCTATCGTGTATCTACTTGTAGCATGCCAGTTTCTTTAAATATTTACAAAAAGTTTCACAATTTGAAACCACAACACACTATACAATTTCCAATCTAAGAATAACACAATAAAGCAACATTGTGTTCACAAAGTTGAATTGTCATTTTGCATAAATATTCACATTTAGCACAGAGGAGAAGTGAAGAAGTATGCTACAATGCACAACTTGTGCATTCATATGTAGTATAAGTTGAGTAAACCAAAATTCAGATGGCATATGCTTTAGTGGGAGAAATTTATTCTCGAAACACAGTATTAGATACCGCCAGAATATTTATTCCAATTCCACAAAATGGAATTTAAGTATTTAAGTGAGTAAACTTTAATATTTTTCTTTAATATTATTTAAATCATTTTTTTTTTATTAAAATGTGGCTTCAATAAATAATTATAATATTTTTTTTATGTTTAAAGAAACCATTAATATCAAACGCCTTAAGTTATGTTCATCACACCAAAGTGCTAGTACCATATTATAC